GGGTACATGGACCCTCTGGGCTACCAAATGCTTCTCAACTCAGACTTCACAAAGCCACCTCCGAGCTGTACAGTGACTCACCAAGAACGAAGAAGGAAACGATGATGGCTTGAAGTGGTTTAGGGTTTAGGGTTTAGGGGTTGCGCAAGATTTCGTCCAGCGACGGTAACTACGAAAACGCCGCACCCTAAGCCGCCAAATTCATAAACCTTGAGCTAGCCCACTGTAGAAGCTTCAAGATTCGTATGTACCAGCTTCCAGTAACTTATCTATTTCCTTTGCCATGTGGTTCTGCATTATTTCCATCATTGCTCAGCGTAGTCCTTACAAACCCCAACACAAGTCCAGTTTGCACTTCATTGTCCATGTTGTTTTCCATTGAGACTGATTGAACCTCAACGCTGAACACTGGACCCCATACCCCTAAACTCTACAACCTATAACCCTACAACCCTATAACCTAAAACCCTTGGGACCCTTTTGGGTCGTTCTTGGCTAGTTACTGACTGTCATCTTAGTGTAGGGATGTAGCTGAAAGGCCCGCTTATCAGACTCGCAGCTGATCTGGCGGTTGGTGCAGAAATACAGGCCCGGAATGGGACTGCCATGTTTTGTAGGGGCATGTAGGGGCTGTATGGGGCTATGATGCCGCATGAAGTCCAAGCAGATTGCATGGGCTTCTTGTGGATGTGTGCAGAATTTGCAGGGATTATGTTCTGAACTAAGGGCTGGTCGTGCGCTTGTGGCCACGTACCTGAAGCCTGAAGCGGCTAGACTCCAACCAATACCCGAAAAGGAGTATGTTAAGCCGCTTTGTATTACTTTTGCAACGGTTCGTGTTCGCACACACCCTGTCTGAACATGCAGTAACTTCAAAACAACTGCAGCCTCCCAACATGTAATTGAACAACTCATGGAGTTGGCTTGAATGGCAGCTTGTTGAGCAGATAGGGAACTACAAGGAGCACGCAGCTGACAGCACCACCACAATCAAAACTCAGCCGCAACTCTCTGAAACCAACGGGAAGGCTCCAGTCGGGAGGTCGCGAGTTGACAAATACCGCAGCCCTTGCTGTTCCAGCATCTTGATCAGCAGATTGCTTCCCTTCAACGCAATGAAGATCGTCTCGGCAGTTGTCGCCATGTCGGCTGTGGCCTGCCTCGTGGAAGGCATCAAGACTCGGGCCAATGGCACCCACCATCCCTCGGGTTTCCTCTGTTTCTCGCAGGAGTTTTCCGGGTACAGTCCGCTCTATGAGAAGACAATGCGCCACATTGACGTGCTACCACTGCGCCCCATCCCCATCGGAACCATGTCTCCAGCAGATTTTTACTTTGCTGGGGGCATGCACATGGGCCGCAAGCGTGCAGGAGCTACCTTTTTCAAGAGGTTCCTGGAAGGGCACGCTCGGGAGATGACAATCGTCGTCGTGCAGCCGGATGACATGCCAGCCAGTGTCATCGTTGTGCCCGGGACTCGAGACGGAGTTGGGTCCCGCGACATGTTCAGATTTTTTGTGCGCACAGTAGAAAGCTTGCTCGGCGAGTTGGGCATGACAGTTTATCCACATGATGAGAACGCGTCTCCTCACAGCGGAAGATGGCTCAAGCAGGTGACGGTACCATATGCAAGTGGGCAGTGGATCCATTCGTGGCAACATGTCAATGGGCAAGAACAGCGTTTCCATCTTAAAGAGGAGACATCGTGCAGGGTGGAGCGCCAGAACCAGGTTGAGAGGATGCTCACGTTCAATATCGGCACTGCATTGCTCATGGCCATGGATCTTGACTTTGCTCCTGTTAGGACCAATTTCCACATGCGTGTTGTTGGGCAACAGTTCAACGGTCCGAGCGATGACGAGATCCGGGTGGACTATGCGCATTACTTCAGCCTCTACCCCTGTGTCGGGGATGACCTCTGACCGTGCTTGCAGTAGCATTCTTGCACCCGGTAGCCAGGAGCCTGCGCAGGGTAGCGACAGCAGCTGCACAGTGTGCCTTCCGCAGCACTAAGCACAGTCAGAAGCGGTCCTGCTGGATTATCCACAGGATTGAACTACCTGCGTGTCTCGCTCGAAAGCTCTAGCATTTATTCCGGCACCTTGAACTCATGGACCTCGTTGCAGGATGCCCCTAAATCCTAAAAACTAAATCGCATACTTCAACCCTCAGGTGGGATCACTACAAGAGAGGCCTCCTTTCCGAGATTCGAAGCTGGAACAGTGGGCGGCCTAGATTTGCTCCTGGATGGTTTCTTAGATCCGTTATGTGCTTTTTCTTAGAACCCCAGTATTGTACAAGCAAATTGGACCCAAGAGGGTAGTTGGAGGGCGGCCTTGGTAGGGTTTGGAGTGTAGGGCTGATAGGGCTCGGGTTGGGCTCTAGGTTTAAGGATTATAGGGCTTAGGTTTCACGGGTGGAGGATTTTGGGTTTTGGGTTCTATAGGGGTTAGGGATCAGGGTTTAGGATTTCTAAGATACAGGGATTGGCTTTCTGGGGGTGATTGATTTTAGGCATTTATGATTCACAGGCAAGTACTATATAAGAATCCACGGGGCCATTCCCTGCCGGGCACTCGGCATTTCCAAAGGTTCCAAGCATGCAAAGGCCCATATAGCACCCTTTACAAGGACAGTAGTCTTTGTTGGTATTATTGGGCGTTCATGGGAAGTTGGGGAGGATAGGATTTGGAGATTTGGATTTTAAGAGTCTGTAGTGTAAAGGGGTCGTGAGTTTAGGAGTTAGCGATTAGGGGCTGAAGAGTCTTGCGTTCATTTTACCATTAGAGCCAGCTGATCAGCTTGCATGATCCTTGAACTTAGGTTCAGCTGCCCTTGAGGGCGTAGACGTAGGGCGCGTACTTGGTATATAGGGTTCCCATATCTATGGATGTTTTCAGGTGGGTGATATTTTCCCATGAAGCCTTCTATACTTCCTGGTCTCCCCAAATGAGCCTCCCAAATGAGCCTTACCTGACCGTTCTGCGAGGTTAAACCTGCTGGTAACTCCCAAAATCCCAAAACCCTAAGCCCTGAAACCCTGAACCCTAAAACCTTAACCCTTAATCAACAATCTCCTTAGCCACAGCTTGCAGGATTTAAGGACTAGGGCTGAGGTTCTTCTTGAAAGCCTGAGCCTGCAGCACCTTATCCTGAGCTCCAAAAGCTTCAACCACCGCAAACAATGGGTCCCTCCCCACGTCACCACAAACTACACAACCTCCAAGATTCCACTTGGATTTCCAGCGTTTTGGGTCTAGGGTTTAGGCCCCAAATCCTAAACTCTACATAGTAGTTTCCATTTGATTTTTCATTATCCCTATATACCCCCTATCTTGTACCTCTAAAGCCCTAAACCCTGCGGGGAACCTTGGGGCTGGTACCTATGACAGGACGGTATTCAGTACTCCGCGAGCACTACCTGCATGATCATTGCATGACGTTACAATTCTTAATCCTAGCCCAGAGGAAACGCTGGCCTGGCTGTAATTTTGCGGAAGCTGATAAAGTAACTTTGTTGCTGAAAATAACTTAAGGGGATCCTTCATATAGCCCAAAAAATTGTAACCTCCTCATATTTGGACGCAACAAGGTACCTGGTGGGACTTCTGTTTTCTTAGTCCTGAACCCGATAATACATTCCTGTATAACTCATATCCAGATATCTCCATTTTATCTTCTTTGACCTATAAGTTTTGTAGTGCCTGAAGGTGACTTCAAAGAAGGGACTTCCAGTGAATACTGGGGCCTACGAAATCCCTTTACATAATAACCCCTATATAAACCCAGTGTCCATTTCAACTGCATAATAGTCCTCAGTGTCCATGTAAGTTTCATTTTACCACCAATTGATTCGCCACTCATTGGCAAGGGATTCTTCGGGCCTCGAGGCCCTAAACCATAAACGCTGCCTAAACCCCAAAGGTACAGTAGGCAAGATAATGGCCCAAAACCCCGGGCCCTGAAACCTAAACCTCAAGCTCATAAGCCGTAAACCCTAAACCCTAATATAGGGGTTATTATGTAAAGGGATTCCTTCCGTGCGCTCAGGCTCAGCCAGTCGTGGAATCATCGACCGGTGAGTGCCTCGGGGATCTGAGGTCGAAAATTATATGGTTGTAGTTGTTCTGTGTGTATAGTCCCCCTTGAGTAGATAGAATATGGTTTTGGGTAGAAAATATAAAAAAGATCCCCATATATACCCCATATTCTATCTACTTAAGGAGGACTATATGTGTTTAAGGTCTGACGGCCTACCGAGAGTTTCTGATTTAGGGTTCAGGGTTCCACTTAAATGATTGCAAGGGCTTAGCGAAAGTCCTGATCCCTACGGGCAATGCAGACCACGCTACTTACAAAAGACCATGAAGGTCCATCCACCGTGTTTTACCGCTTAGGGTGATAATCCTTCCAACCCGTTTGGGCTTGATTTCAGGGGAGTAATGGGGGGGATCCCGCAGACTCTTAGAAACCCGCAACCAGGAGATTAGGAGAAGGAGGAAAAGCCTTTCGCAGGTGAACAAGCTTCCAAAAACATGTGGCCAGTGATGTAGAGTTCCGCGCGAGTTAATAAAATGTCCCCAATACCCTAGTCCATTTTTTCGGGTGTTTCTCCCCATAGATGTGGGATCTCTGAGATGAGAACCCCATCCAACCTAAACCCACGCTGCTGGCTTTTTTTGAGAAGTATATGCCAGGCACAATAGGAAAATTGAGTGACATGCTGGCGCTTTGCCTCATCTGAAGATGATGGACGTGCAGATAGACATTGCAGGGGCAGCAAGCACACTTACGCCCAACACCAAGAGTAAGCCTTGATCCCCACAACTTAAATCCCCAAACCTTGCAAGCTGAACTCTCACGATCCGAACTCTCGCGCTTAGACCCTGAAAGCCTATGCCTTACAACCCAAAAAGCCTTTGCCGTACAATCCAACAAAGCCCTAAACCTCCCGCCACCCTGAAAACCACAACAATGCACCCTTAAAGCTGAGATCTTAAACCCTGCCCACCCACACCAGCCCTTAAGTAGATAGAACATGGGGTAATATTAGGGTTATGTTGGGGTTATATGGGAAGAATGGATAACATGTTATGCAGGGTATAGAATATGGGGTATATGGGGATCTTTCCCCCCCTAAACCCTAAACCCTAGACCTTAAATCCTAAACCCTAAACCCTGAACCCTAAACCCTAAACCCTAAACCCAGGGAGGATCCGGCTCCCATGACTGGAGCCAGCTCTTTGGGTGATGAGGCACCAAACTGGGCTAGGGCTTACCTGAACCCCCAAAGTATGTAGAATAATGGTCTTTTGGTCTATGTTTAGGTGGCTTGGGCTATTATTTTACCTACTTTTGGGGTTCAGGTAGGGCTTAGAGCACATGACATATCAGCTGAGGGAAGAACCAGGAGCGATAAAGGGACCTCACAGGGATGAAGATAAGCTCACGTTAGTTTGCAGCAATAAGGATGTGAGTTAGGAGGACCCCCCACCCTCTAGTAGTGGTATAATAGGAATATAA